ATAAGTGTAGTTTCAAAATAGCGCCATGTATGGGAATCAAATGACTTTCTCTGTGTAGGGACTGAGGTTCTAACTAATATCTAAAGCGAGTGAGATGCTTTTTTACAGATTTAAAACCAAATATGCAACGTTTTTAAATTAGTCAGTGGTTTTTAAATGAGTTAAGGGATTCTGCTCTGCACACTTCTTGGAAAGTTACAATCTACCAAGAAGGAAATGCCACCAATAGATTTAAAGTGGTGCAATGCTGTCAAGATGCAATTTTTTTACATAACACACACATCTCAGAATTATTTTGTTCTCACTTATTCTAAAAAGAAATAAGCACATTTTATTTTGTCTAAGATTTCCATACATGTTTCATAATATTTTGTACACTTTCCAAATAAAATCATCCTTTCTTCTTTTTCACCTCTTCGAAGCAGCAACCACATGCAACACAACACACACACACACACACACACACACACACACACACACACACACACACACACACACACACACACACACACACACACACACACACACACACACACACACTGCACTGTCTTTGTAACAATGTGTTTGTAGCATTCTTAATAATCTGATTTTACAGGCGTGTTGGACGTCTCTTTCTCGGTGGTGTCTCTGTGGCTAAAAGTCCCTCTGCTCAGCTGCCTCCAGCAGAAGTACCTAGTCGGCGCATTACGCAGGGACTTCCTGAACTTCTCCCCTACAAATGCATAGATGATTGGATTCACACAGCAGTGAGACAGTGCAATGATTTCAGCATAGCTCATTGCAGAGTTGATGGCTTTTTCAGCCTGGCAGGTTTTCAGGGTTTCCAGGAACAGCTGTAGAGTTTTAAGAAGAACCACAACATTGTAGGGGACCCAGCAAATGACAAACACGCAAACTATTGTGAATATTAGCTTTATAGCTCTGTCTTTTTTGGAGTTCCTGGACTTGGACAGCACAACAAGTATTTTCACATAGCAGAAAATCATGATGGGGAGGCCCACAAATAGCCCCACTGTGTTTTCGCTGAAGTTTCGCAGCATCTTCCACAAATGCTGACTCTCATGTGGGTAGAATGGCTGGCACACTGAGCTGTTGTCTTCTGGATCTATCTCCAAGGCGGCAAATCTCAACCCAGGGATTGCCATGATGACTGAAATGATCCAGATAGTGATGCTGGCTATGATTCCATAGCGAAGTGTGCGCGCTCGCATGGCTGCAACAGCATGGACAATAGCCAAGTAGCGGTCCACACTCATAAGGGTCACAAACAGATTTCCACTGTAGAAGCCCACCTGTTCAAAGAAGCAGAGGGGGGAGGAACGTCAGAATCCGGTTAACCTGGCCTCAATGAGGTTCTTCATACATTACACAGCAGGTGTCGTTTGTTACCATAGAAAACATCTCATCTCACCTTTTATTTTTAGCAAAATATCCCCCGCATTATAAAAACAACTAGAACTGTAGGGACACAGGTGCACAACTAACATTGCAGAATCATTATTTACTTTGCTCCACTTTACCCTTAAACCCCTAGACACAGCACTTGTAGAAGGACATGTTTTTTTATAGATAATTGGTAATCAGCATGTTTTAATATGTTCTGCTTTCTGAACTAATAAGTACCCAAACCCACTGAGTTTCAAACTTGAATTATAATGGACTTGTTATGGTTTTGTATTCTAAATGATAGAAATGGTTAAAAGGAAGAAAGTAAAGAAATAAAGCGCCACCTGATAGACTCCTGTCAGCAGTTTGCAGGTTGCGAGGTTCTGATAGTTGACCAAGAGGGGCAGGGATGCAGCCAGTATGAGGTCAGACAGAGCCAGGTTGAGCAGACATACATCCGTCATACTTTTCAACTTTATGTACCGGGTGAGAACCCAGAAAATAGTGGTGTTGCCTGTGAAATCAATTCAGATGATTTATCCATACTAAAGTTTTTCTCACAATGTGTTAAAGGAGACACATTTACACTTTTTCCATTTATCTGTAAGATTCTTGTTTGAACATACCTAGCACACTTAGAAAAATCAGCATGTAGTACAGCATGTGCAATATTGTGGTTCCATTGGGCAACTCTGGACCGCCATCCTGATCACAGGTGTCATTATAATCATAGTCCTCCAAGTATGACTCATACTCTGATGTATTCATACTGCTGTGTGAGGAGGAAAAGAACATACGCAGATTACTTTGGGTAAACACAATGTGACATGCAAGGTAAAAAACCCATGATGTACCAAATATATCTAGCATGACGCATAAAGTTGAAAAAAACATTGTGGTTGCTTGAAGCAACAGATGTTGGGGTGGGGGTGACTAGGTGGCATCATACTATCCACAAAGTAATTCAATATTACCACAATTACCATTATTCAATCACTAAGTCAAGCAGCAAAAAATAAAAAACCTTTGATTTACATTATAACAATAAAGATGTTAGTATAACACTTCAAAGATTCACATTCTCTACAATGTCATCATTTATCTTTACATGTTGGTGAATAGGCTTACTGGTTTGTTTGTGTGTGTGCAATAGTAAGTTGTTCTAGTTCAATCCATGTTGGTATTAAACCAGGGCAACCCATGTCTACATCAATTGTTGAAATCTGATGGGTTTCACAAGTGATAACACGGGTATTAGGGGCACATAAGGTACTGGATAAAACAGAAAAAATATAGAGTTTTTTGATAAAACCATAAGTAAAGTAAATCATTGAGTTATGGTTGAACAGCTCTGTCCTTTAAAAGTAACTCCAAAGCTTTGGACTTTCAAACCTAACAAAAGTAGTTTGATCTGCAGTTTGTCATTTAAGTGTTCCTCCCAGACCTTACTTAATAAATTAACAAATAAAAAATAGGAACAAAAATACAAAACAATTTAAGCTTTTATTGAGTCTTATTAGTTATTTCAGCTTTTCTCGTCCAAAACCGCATCCTGTTATTCACTATCTCCTTTTATAGACTTCTCTCGAACATCATATTTAAATAACAGAGGGTTTGGCAAAAAAAGCGACCGTGTTGGATGATTATAGTTATTCCAGACAATTCCTAATAATCCTGAATTTCTCAATAGATTTACATGAATATCTTCCTATTGTAATGTGAAGTCAAAGAATCATTCAAATATATCAATTTTGAATACTTACAATATCAAAAATGAGATCCTTTTGATTCAATTTTCTTCACTTTCAGTGTTGCCTCCACTCACAAATCTTCAGGAAACATAAAGAAGATGAGATAGTTGTTCCTTTTTGCTATCATGGTTACATTGGTTCACAATCATGTCGAGTGGACTGTATTTTCCACACTGAACATTTTGTACTGATACTAGCCTCAAATTACAAAGAAACTATTTGAAAAAAGAACATGTATGAATAAATGCGAGGGAGTTCAGAGATGTTAGTGGACTTTCCTGCCCTTTAAGTTGAAACTTTCACATATATTCATCAGTCCCTGACTCATGTCTGAAAAGCTTCCGTAAAAAAGTTCAAAGGCTTCTGTGTCAAAACTTACAAAAGATCCAAATCTGATAGAATTCTATCGTTATGATTTTGGTGTTCCCTGTAACTGATGATAACTTCACAATATTGAACCTTCTCCCTATGTACAGTAATGTAAGAGATACAACAAACATTATCAACAAACATCAACACTTTAGATGCAGAAGTAAGACACAGCTGTCTATGAATTTCACCAACTTCCTCCTACTCTGACCATAATCAAATGCATATGATCTCTTTTAAACCACATCTAAAAAAAAATTCTTTCACTATCAAACATTTGCAGAACCGACTGCCACACCATGTCGACCCCCACTTCCTGTGACTGACGCTGTTTACGCACACGCCTGTGCACTAACAATCCTCCACTACACATATAGGTGTAACACTGTATAGATGTTTGAGGCGGTTTATTATATATCAACTGGACGTTTGAAAATGGAAATGTGCTTACCGCATGCCAAAATCACTGTTCCTGAGTGTTTATTCTGGTGTGCTGGGTATCAAGCATACATGTCAGCCTGTCAACTTGCATTGCTCTCTTTTTGTGTCAAATCCTGCTGTAGAGCGCATTTCTCGTAAGGTGGTAACTCTTGGTTTTTGTTGTTTCCTCTGCTTGGTGTTAACACTGTGCAAAGGTGTCAGTGTGGTTTCGCAGAAATGTTCCTTTGCATCTGTTGAAATGTAGCAAAAATTGAGTAGGGGAATATGTATTCTAATGAGGAGCTTTTCTTTCTATATGTGTTCTGTTCGCTTTGGAAAGTAGCTTTCAGCTCACCAGGAGTAAGAGATTTTTGTTTACGTTTTATTTTTAATATGTAAAACTTTCGCAGTTAAAATTAGAATTCAAATTAGCTTGGATGTTTAAATGTTATGCAACAGATTAACGGTATTTCAAAATTCAGATTAAAATGGTTTAACATAACTTCTTTAAGAATAAAATGTAGTCACTAAGTAATGTTTCTAACGGTAGGGGAGGGTTCCTTTTAATATGTTAAAAATCACGCAGACAAAATACCTTCTTTTTGGCACCTCTTCTTTAATGACAATTAAAATATATCTTCTCAGCCAAATGTACTTTAATGACAATTAAAATATATATTCTCAGCCAAATGTAACAGTAATGAACATGTGTTTATTATAGAAGTAGTCTGTCATTGTCTTGATAATGTTACATTACAATGGCAGTAAGAAAGCTGCAGAAAGCTACAATGTGCAGTAAAAACCCATTATGTGAATGAATGTATAAAAATGTATGGACTATGTTCCAATACAATATGAAATTGCAGTGAAATACCAGGACAATAAAGGTAAACAGTAAAAAAAACAGTGTTAAAAACAAAATATGTAGATACTACTTTACATATTTATAAATGTGAGCCATAAAACAATGTTGGGAATTATGAAAAATGACATGTGTGTAGGAAGGGTTCATTGTTGTCAATAGATTGAAATCCTTGATAAATCCCACACACAGCTCAACAGGTTTTACATCACCCTGTGTTTGTTCTACTTTGTGGTTTTGATTAATCAAACATGAAAGAGAAACGGTGTCCAGAAGCAAAGGGAGAGACACTATGTGATGTTATGAAGAACATTTGTTTGTTGCTCATACAGTATGAAAGTATTTCTTTCATTTGCAGGCTCATAGTCTCATCACACGAACAGACGTCATGGGTACAGGCTGTCAAGACAAAGATTGTATTGAAAACATTTGATAATAAAAAGAATGACTATCAGAGCCCCCTTGATGAGCAACGCATCTAACATTGAACGCAGCTTATTTACACACTGCTGGTTAAAAACAGTCCAAAATGGAAATTTGAAACACACACGTGGACTCTTCATGGTCCATAAAACCATAACATAATCTGCCCTACACCTTTTACATGATGGAGGGGACATCAGAGGACCGAGACACTGAGCTCTTCCTGTAGGAGCTATCTGAGAAGTCTCTGTTGGAAGGCAGAAGAACCCCGGGCACACATTTCCTCAGCAGCGGCAGGGCTCGCTTCATGAACTTTTGTCCCACAAAGGCGTATATGATGGGGTTCAGGCAGCAGTGAGTGTAAGCCAAGGTCTCAGTCACCGTCATTAACAGCCTTAAACTGGCTTCGCTGTATTCGTTTGACAATAACCCTTTAGACTTTAGAAACCACAAGAACAAGGAAAGGTTATACGGGGCCCATAATAAGAAAAAGGCGATCACAATCGAGAGGATCAGCTTGACGACACGGTGCTTTTTAGCACTCCTCATCTTCACCAGTATGGGGATGATCCTTGAGTAGCAAACTATCATCACCAGCAGAGGGATCACTAGACCCAACACAGTAATTGTGAAGGTGTTATAAAACCTCCAGTCATCGTTTTCTGGTTCGTATCTACAAGCCACCCCATTGGACTCATTTAGCACCTTTGTGAAGATGATATCCGGCAGAGAGATGCAGAAGCTCAGCACCCAGATGAACACAGTCAGGGCGATGCCTGACCTCAGGGTGCGATATCGTGCCACCCTGTGAGCGTGCATGATAACCATGTAGCGGTCAAGCGTCATAACCACCATGAAGAAGATGCTGCTGAAGAAACCAGTGCTGTGGGAGCCGGAGGCAAAATGGCACATAAAGTCTCCGAAAGTCCATTGACCAACCCTGGAGTAGTGAGAGTAGAAAGGCAGCATGAGGACAAAGAGGAGATCGGAGAAAGCCAGGTTGAAAAGGCAGATGTCTGTCAAGTTGGTCTGTTTGCGATGCTTCACCAGGACACACACCACTAGGCCATTGCCTTGAAGAGAGGGAGAGAAAAGATTACCATGTGTAAAGTAATGGCCTTGTTTAATTTCTCTTTTGAAATTCAAATTCAAAGGGGCTTTATTGGCATGAAAGTTCAAAGAAACAATGTTGCCAAAGCTTCAAAAATACAAAATACTTACACTATAATATGATATCCAAACAACATTAACATACATTTCAAATTGTTACAAATTAATGATATACAATTACACTTCAACACACGTGTGTGTGTGTGTGTGTGTGTGTGTGTGTGTGTGTGTGTGTGTGTGTGTGTGTGTGTGTGTGTGTGTGTGTGTGTGTGTGTGTGTGTGTGTGTGCTGCATTAAAGCCCACTGGATAGGGTGACCTGACCGAGAAATAGCAATATGGATTAATAAATGGCTTTGACTCAAGTGTTTTAAATGTATTTCAAATGAAAGCAAATTGCACACTAGTTTGAATGCATAATTCATGCTCTAGTGCCATTTGATCTTTTTTTCATTCCCTAACAATAAAGGATCAATGAAGGATCGCTGCATAGGTATCTTTCAAAAGACGATATAGAGTGAGAAGTACCAGATAAAACAAGAAAAGAGAGCTAGAAGGGTGGAGTAGGCCGTCCAGAAGCATTGAGCTTGACGGAACAGTGAATCAACTCGAGTAAGCAGGGCAGTGTTTATCCAGATAATACAATCAGAAGGAATATTGATCTGAGGTCAGCCACGTAACGGCTGCTTCGGACTTGAAGTTCATGGCTTCAAAATCAAATGAACGTGATTGAGTTATAAATATGACAGGTAGAGAGCTGCTTGATTCAGCGTCCTAATGTCTGGTTTAACATGGATGTACATTACACAAACACACTGGATTAGTTGTAGGGGGTTTATATTGTGGATTCAGTTATTTAGTGAATGACTTGAAATCTAGTCAACACCATTCATACTACAGTAGCTGCTTCTAGTTCTTCTAACTTAATTCCCCATATCCATTGTATTATTCAGTACTCCTTTATTGGAAAAAGAAAAGCATCACTGGTCGTCTTTGGACCTGTGACCACTATAACACTGATGACTAAGCGTTAGGAGACACTTGCTGCCCTCTGGAGGACATCAGTGCACATTATCACAGCTCAACAATCATCCAATTAACTGTAAATGTGGCTATTGTGACTTTATGCCACAATCTTGAAGATTGTATGTGAATTGTTTCAATTGTCCTTCCACACTACGATTATTTGCACTAATGTCAGAATTCTTTAAACAATTAAGCAATTTATCATTAAGACCACAAAATGTTCAAAATATAAAACATGTGATGTGTTCAAATGACAACAGTCCAGTCTCATATCATATCAATGATATAATATTGATATATTTGCTTGCATAAATTATATTCATACAATAACAAATGCTGATTTAGTAAAGAAAAATATGATGGCAGACATTTAAAGCTTAATTCTAAAACAGAAATAGAATCTTTCGAGTTTGATGATCAGCAATCATGCAATAAATGGACATAACAACAGGATCCCTTCGAACAAACTGAGGTTAGTTAGTAGTTTGTTCTGGATTGTAAAACATTTCAAATATGTTCCTATGTTATTCTGTCCACCCATAGTTTATGATCAGAAGGTGAGATAACAAAAAAACTAATCCCTCTCTGATTTCACTTATCACATCTGGACAATGGACACAGATGTGTTAGGAATACTTACATCGGATTGTGTGTCACAGTCATCCATGTCCATAGATGTTGTTTCTGTCTGCAAACGGAGGGCACAGCTAACATGCAGCATTCAAGAATATCTATTATTTGCATGCACCACTCAAGGATAGTTTGGAAAATGTTACACCATCTCATATTCCTCATGTGCAAATGAGTCACTGCTAAACTTTGTTGAGAGTTATGATGACTTTCATGCTGCTCTTAACTCTCTAATAATCTGTATTTATAGCCAATGTCAATTATGATAATAAAACAGAATTACACTGCTAAAATAAGATTTTCAAGGGTCGGATTAATAAAAAAAACATATCAGCAACAGAGATCTGGTCTTACCTTTGTTTTCCTCTTGCTGAACTGGAAGATACCCAGAAGGCCTTTCTTCTCTGCTCTGCCCAAACTGTTAGTATTAGAGCGGATGGACTCTACAAAAAGAAAAAGAGAAGCAGAAGGAGAGGAGTTGGACAAGATACTTTCAATGTGTCATAAAAGAAAAGCAAATAAGTTAGGTTCAATCTCAGAAAAAGTAGATTGTTAGCAACTGTTATGATCCCAGCATGCATTGGTTAGTAAGGGCAACAACAGAATTCAGTGAGGGATCCCCATGGAAGTAGAACACTGTAAAACACTCATGTGTATTTAATTGAGTTTTATCCATATGATATCCAATACATTTGTTGTATTGTATATTTGCATACTTTAATTTGTCATTTTAAAACATTATGGATTGGTCAACATACATACTGCACCTGTGTTCAATAATCACAAACTGAACATAATCATGTACTGGGTTTTCTCAGCAGAGGGCGCTATAGCTTCATTTATCTCAAAGACCTCCTCTGTCTATGTAACCTTCAGCGTCTACAAAGCAGTAAGTAAGAATGTGTCATGATAACACTGTTGGCTTAAGGGCAGGGAGGGAAAGTAAACTAACCTTGAAATTAAATCAAACAATTATACTACTGGGTTGTTTGGATTCCAAAATAAACTAGGCAAACTCAGCTAAATATAAGTAATTTTAGAATACACAGCACTGATAATGTTATGACTAGGAAAACAATTACAATAACATTAGAAACATAACATTATGTATATGATGATAGGTGGCTAAGAAGCAAAAATGCATGTCAAATGAAAAGCAACAAAGCAGGGTTAATAAGCAATCAGCAGGACATTGGGTTACACAGCTACATTTAGTTGGAATTAGAAACACTGAGGCAGACAAAACGTATCACTAATACCTGAGTAGTTAAGAGCAGGAGCAGAAGCCATTTTAGGCTGGAGAACTGGAAAACATGACAAGGTTTAAAACAAATGAAATCATTTATGGATAACTGACCTTCATGGAATACAATAAATGAATCTGTATTTACACTTTTGCAGCAACACAACACAACAGGCAGCATTTCACTAAACAAATACGAAAAATGTAACCATAATTTGAATGTTCTCCTTGATAAACAACGTGTACTTCATGATAACAGTGAACGGTGGAATACCATACTATAACTAAATGTTATAGTATTTGACCATTAACAATTGCAAAAGGTTCTAAATGTTCTTGAACATTTCCTTAATGACCACAAGCCACCAGCTTTCCCTCTGAGATCACCCTCTGGGACAAATACAATATATATAAATACCACTGGGTGTAGGCTGTTACTATGGTAATGAGCCATATTATCAGATCTTAGACCATAAGTCAACTTCCTACAAGATACTGTAGGATAATGATTTACAATTATAGTACCCAGAACGGATACATTGTATTTACCATGGTTCATGTTGAAAATAATATAATTGGAAAAACAACAGGCTATCGTTGCTGCTCGTTACAATATTATTGACTGCTTGCATACAACTCTAAGTCAACATGCATGCCATGCTGTACAGCAAACAGAATACAATGTTATTCTGGTTGTGGCTCATAGCACTGGAGTCTGTTTAGATAGCTGCTACTGGCTGGATTTGCATTGGATCCATACTGTGCACTGCTTCCTGTTTAGATTCAGGGTCTTTGAGTCTCTTTACAGATTTGAAACTGAAACTCTGGTTTAAGGTGGTGACGGTGAGTAAAAACAGTTGATGTTAAACTTTCTGTCCACTAACTGAAAATCTGCTTTCCTCCTGCACCCGTCTGTGAAAGGGTTAGAGGGGCAGACAGGAGATTGTTTTTACTGATTGCGATAAAAACACCATTTCTAATTAGTGGGACAAATGTGAATATCCTCATATGTCTGTCCTAAAAATACTTTCCTAGCTTAACAAGTCTCCAGTGCAGCACCACACCCTTTGTTCTGTACACATGATAGAGAATGAAAAAAAATTACATAAGTTCTCTTTTTTATTTTTACCATGCATATAAACCTTTGCTACATACCACTGTCGTTATATGGTGGTTAAAAATAAAGCTGTCACATTTGTGGGAAGGTTAAATCTTCCCTGTTTCTGTTTGTATACAGATTCATACACGTCTTTTATGAAGACATTGTGGTTGATTAATATAATATGCTTGACTAATTGAGGATGATATTAATTACCAGGCCAACATCAGATAAAATGACACAAAGGCTGGACGAGCCAAGTCCCCTATCAGTGTCCATGCTGACGTCTTTATCTGCTTGAATCAGTTTACTAACATTAGCATAAATCAAGACTGTGCTCTATACATCCACCACAAGTGATTTCATTTCAAGTATCTATATAAAATCAATTATGATGTAAAAAAAAGACTGTTCCCATAAACCGCCTATTTCTAATCAGTTTGTTATTAGAAATGTGGATCTGCTATAGTTTTAATGGACGGTTGTATTAAATATTAAGTAAATTGAAATATAATGAATTTGATACACAGAAACAGAAAATAGACGGAATCAAGCAGTTGAGGATTACCTAGACTCTGATCGTGTACGTAGAGCTCCTTGAGCCCCAGGTCCAGCAGAGATCTGTCCAGCGGTAACTCGTGGCGACTGATGCCGTCCTTCAGGAGCAGGACATGTGCCGGCTCAAATTCACACTTATCGCAGATGACTGGTATCAGAACCTGGAGCGGCACCAACGGGTTGACCCGCACCACTGCCTTCTGGCTGCCGTGGTAGTTCACCATCAAACGCACGGTTTTCTGATACAGAGAGGGGAGACGGGTGGAAACAGTTAGACAGAATGTCAGACTGGATGAAGTAAAATGCTACTTAGGGAGGAATCCCTTTTCTTAAAGATATTTGTTTTTCCATGCAGTGGAAAGTAGAAAGCTAGAGAAGTGGAGGTCCCATGCCGGCTACATATCTACATAAATAAAAAGAAAGATTTTGCCTTCATGTTAGAATTTAGACAAATATAATCAAAGCTTACTGACTGACCTAGCACAGATGTAATGTATCTGATTATTTAGGCAGTTCAATGACTACCATCATAATATCAATAAATACATCTTAAACATAAAAACCAAAGAGTAGTCAGCATATGTAATGTAAAAATACGAGGCAGCGAGAGATAGAGAGAGGGCAATAAATATATCAAAACAGGGAAAGACACTTCAACAATGGGTAACTTAAGATTAGACTTTGGTTGCTGACGGAAAAAGTGACATTTAATAGACAAAGAATGAGCAAGTTTTGTGCATATGTGTTTACATTTATACATGTGATCTAGGATGTGTGTGTGGGCGCAGCATTGATGTCTTCCTTCCCACACATTACATAGTGTTCTATTATTGAGAACAGACGTGCCACTCTGTACAGTCTTTATCACTGAGTGGTGTACATCAGCCTCTATAAAAACACAATCTGAAGTCAGGAATTCATAAAATGCCTCTTCAGTTAGTGGCTTCTCAGTGACTTTTCAAGTAGAGGGACATTCATTTGTATGTGTCAATGGTGCTTCAAATTCATGAAAGCACTTCTCCAGAAGGTTTTGAGTTTCACAGTCAAAATGCTGCTGTAGATGACAGCACAGAGTAAAAGAAAAGCCAACTGCACCAATTTAGTGCAGTTATATCCAAAAACATTGTTTAGATTTGATTGAATTATTATAAAGTACTGTTTGTCATTGTTACTTTTTCTGTTTTACCAGGGTAATGTGTCATGCTGTTGTTGTTCGTTTTGCTGAGCTAAAATCTGCCTGCCACTGATTTACTGAAAAATTATATTGTAATCCCCAGGCGCCATGCATAATGGCAGCCCACTCCTCCCTAGACCCCTATACATTTCCCCTCTGTGTGACGAAATAAAGGTATTCTGATTACATTATGTCTAACCTGCTCATTTCAATTTAGAAATAGCTCTAACTTTTATACAATGTAGTTCAAAATGTGTCTCTAGTAACTGACCGCTGAGTGTTCAGTATTTCACTCTGACTAGGGTTACAATGAAAATACAGAGAACGAGGATGACTGACAGAAGCGTCCGAAATAGCGTCAGCCGCTGGCTAGAGGCCAGACGGGGTCAAAGGGAGAGAGAGCAGCCAGTGAGCCCTGAGAAGAGCAGAGAAATAATGCATGGTAACTAAAGGTAAGGCACTCATCAAATATTCAAACTGTAGGAGGAGAGCTGAGGAGAGGCAGAGAAAACAAGAGAGGGCAATGCTCATTAGAAATAAGTTTGTAATAGCACAGTGAGACGTAGAGAAATATAAAAACAAAACAGACACACTTAAGACTGAAAAACCGGTGTATAAGAACCACGTCCAATGTCATGCTAGGCCAGTGAATCCCAATTGTCCTCCTACCTTAGCATTGGCCCTTACAGGTTTCTCTGGCCTTGCTTTCTGCCAGCAGTCAGAGGTAAAGGTAGAGAGGGGAGGGGCGGACATTACATAGGGCTACAGGGTGAGGAGCTATAGGACATGCAGACTCCAAACTATTATATGCTATCACTAGCATTCTGGACTATAAATAAGCTATATTACAAAAAACATAGGATGTACACTCTTATTTCATATATAATAATTAGTTGAAACATTAGCTGTCTATAAAAAAAAACACAAGAATCCAAGCCAAGTCCAACAATCCAATATGCTGTAACTCGTACAAAATCCTTAATAAGATAAAATAAGATGTACTTTATTAATCCCAATTTGGGATTTTTTTCCGTTGCAGCAGCATAAAACAAAACAAGCCATTGCACATAACAAATTATAAAAGGCAAGAATCGATAAGACACAGGGAGCTGCTGTAACAGGCTGCCACCTAGCACGGCGCCAACAGCGAATGATAATAAAAAAAATCACAAATAACAAAAAGAACATCCATATGGAGGTATCAGGCTCTGCTGTGACTCACCTCTGGCACTTTGGGCGCCGGTCTGCGCACCACTTTCTCCTCCCAGACTTTCTCCTTGATGAGGACACAGGCCACGTTCAGGGAGCCCAGCAGCGCGTTGGGCTTGAACCCCAAAGAGTGGCCCTCGGGCGTCAGCAGCTCCAGGGTGTGCAGCGCTGGGTTCAGGTGGTGACGGCTGCACTGCTCCACCAGCAGGTCCATCAGAGCCTTACTGAGAGAGGGAGAGGGGGGGAGGGAACGAGAGGGGGAGGAGGGTAAGAGGAAGAAAGAACCACAGGAGGAGATGAGGAGGGAGACAGAAAGGAAGGAGAAAAATATAAGGTTACAATGCCTAACAAGCTTTTGTTCTGCTTAAGAGAGTAGTAATAACTTGATACGACAAAAGACTTCTTGATACACACAAAGAATAGGATTTTGAACATCAACAGGTGAATTCACTCAGTGCTTATAGCACCATTGTTTGGCAATAAATTGCAACACTTAAGATGATGCGCTAATGATTTTTCAACACAAACACGCTCTATGTGGCATGAATTAAATGTTGTTTGTGCTTCTAGAACACATAGGTAAAATAGAGGCTGAGTTAAAAATGAAGTATAACATGTATGTAGGAATTAAACCAGACAAGAGAAACAGTATTATGGATACAATATGCCGTGATCTTTGCTGACACCTATAATTTCACTTAAACTGCGTGTCGCTAACTATCAGCGCATGGCTGATTTTTGTCAATTAAAAACTTTGACAATGAGCCTTATTGAGAAATAAACATTTTCTTTCGTGTCATTGGTTCAGGCGTAGAAGCCGCAAAAGTCATGAAATCCCTCAATTAATTCGCTTCCCAAATGTTATCACAGATATATTGTAGTATAGTACTAAAAAAATAAGATTAAAAGTGTATTTTTGTCTTAATTATTTTGTATAATTATTTTTTGTTTTTGGCTGATGATGACAGGATTGTAAAATCTTAAAATGTCCATATTGAGAAATCTTACACAAATATAGAATTATAAGGACAAAAGAAAGTTTAGCTGCAACAGAATGTCGACTAATCATTTAGGTGACAGATTTTCTAATAATAAATAATGCAACAATGGCATAAATTGATGTTTTAAAATATCTGTCTTAATGTATGTCTTTGTTAAGAAGTTGTATAAAATGGTCTAACTTCTGCAAGGGAAATAGAAACAAATACCAAAACACCAACAGATAGCAGAGAAGCCATTTATCACATTCTGATTCAATCTGCATGATTTATCTAGACATAAACAATAAAAAGGCAGGGGCAAAACAAGTGGCATTGAGATATAATGACAGGCAAATTGCAGATTACTTGTGCTATGATGAACTACTTATGTCCATTAAGCCACAGTAGAAGCTCTGAGGTCTGCTTCATTGCTTTGTGCGTGTGTCTGTGTGCAGCTGATGGGGAGGCCTGCAGTACTACCTGTCAATCCTCAGATAAAGAAACCGAGGGACAGTCTCCAATGTTTTCTGGGAACAGCCAGATCAGATGACAGAAGTGAGAGAGATACCACTACAAAGGACACCATTGACGATCACTACAAATGGACCCAGTCTACAACTAAGACGACAATCTGGAATCAGCAGAACCGGCTCCTGTGTCACTATGTGATTCTTTACATGATTATAAAGATGGTATGTTCATCAAAAATAACTTGTCAACCGGTAAACCCCCCATGGTTCACAAGAGGGATTCATTAAGGCATCTTACAGAGCCAATTATTGTTCATTCTTACCTTACTTTACTGTTTAACTGCAGTCCTGCTTATAAAATGTTGGAATAATGATGAGTAGCACTACAGGGACATCTGTTTGAGATCATGCAAAAGGCATAACATTTGTTATGTATTATTCTACACAATCACAAAATGTTTTGAACTAAATAATTTTCTTTTAAATCTGAGCACCAAACGTCTGCTGTATTCAAAGCAGGTATTGCTAACTTAATTGGCTTTGTGTGACTGTCAATGCTCACACAATAAATGGTTGAGGATTTTTCTATTTAGCATTTGATATTTATGACACGTGTGTTTATGATACATTGGCCTTATCTTATCTTTGAACACATGAACTATCCCAGGCTATGATGTTGTCAGAAGAGGAAGTGTCAATGTGTTATCATACATTCCATTCTCCAACATGATTTAGAGTACGATGCTAACATAAACCTATAAATAGATTTAAGGAATTATACTGTAGGCAATCTGAAATGGTTAATAAAAAGCCACGATTTTTACGTGTAGAAATGCCCCTGTTTAGTAAGAAAAGGGAAACACCTTACTTTTACTACTTTTAAAAAGTAGCACAGTGACGCCTACTGGACTAAAGTTTGTTTATGGTTCTAAAAGACCACCTCGTCTTTCTGTAATAAGGAGGCATCCCTGATTTTCTGCCCCAAAAGAGAGAACCTCATTAGGGGCAGGGAGCTTTGGCAGACAGCCTTCGTCTGGCAACAATCCCGGCTGAAGCTTGTGCTGAGACTGGGAATGGGACCCTTGACAAGGCCCCATGGCACAGCAACCAAAACAGGCAACAAACGGGTCTCATGATTTGTCTGGCCAGGGTCAGCACATTATTTCATGAAGAATGTGATGGATTGCCCTCTCACCTTCCATCCTCAGTGACAGCAGTCTGGTGTCCCTGGGGGAGGGTGAGCTGTAAATCCACAGTGGGCCTCAGCAGGTTCTCCTTGGCGTCCATGTCTGATGTCCCTCCCCCATCAGGTACAGCGTTTCTGAAGATGTGGCGTGGGGCGGGTAGAGGGACATGTGGCGGGGGCGGGGCACGGGCCTTCATTCTCTTCCTGAGAGATGACAATGAGACAATTAGAGGATGACATGACTAACTTTCAGATGCTTGATTGAGTTTCCTACATTCTATTAGGGTTTTCCATGTATGGCTTATGCAGGGTAAAGATCTGAGTTTTATTACATATCATATTTACTGTTATCAGATCCTAAAAGGACACATGACGCGTTTATTGAGCCAGCCTATCCTTCTGATGCACATCCTGACTCACTTTTATTCACTCAAAGAATTTCAAATATTTAAAAAACATTTCTGTTTGTCATGAGTTCAGTCAATTTTAACAGGCTTGTGAACAGACCCCATGATTCTGATTCTGTTGGTGACACAAGCTTTCTCTTCACTTAGATTACATAACAGCACACAGATATGGTGAGCCGATCCTTTTGGTTGTCAATATGATCCTGCCCTCAGCAGCTGCTTATTCAATCTGTTCCTAACACTCCTCGGAATAATAATTAACTATTCATAATAACACCCTCTATAACATCACTCTTAGTACTCATGCTTAACAAAACTAAATCAATGTTTGTTAATTACCTTTACTTCCACACCAATAGCTTCCCTTTATTTGATTATTCTTCAATACCTGAGCAGTTTATTTAAGACAAGCCCAGTGAATGTTATCATTCAGTAATACTTCAACGTGGACATTAGGTTGACTAAGTTGAAAGAGTCCTTTCCTTGGTAAAACAGCGACTGAAAACATCTGATAAAATTCAAATGTCAGCAAGGCCATTTGGTTGGCTCAAGTTCCAGGCATAATTTATGAAAACAAAAAATACCCAGAAAGCAAACCACACACAAACTACAGTTCACATGGGTGGGGATGTGGCAGATGTCAATGACATGCCGGCGACCAAATGCTCCTATCTGCACACCTGACCTCGGCACATGAACTGTACTTAGCCCGACACAGACAGCTGATTGGACAGGAATCAAACACTTCATTCTGCTAACGATGACAAACTGCTTTTCTATAGCACACACTACCTTTCTGTATTCGCAGCACAAATATTAGCTTTAGGTATCATAATAATATTCCACTCACGTACAAAATGTCCTTGTGTTGATGAAGTGTTCCCAAACAGCTTTATATCAAGCTGTTTATAAATCCAGTTCTAAGAAATAGGCACACCCTCTCAGAGAGAATGTGTGTACTAGCCAGTTTCCTACGAGGTATTCCTGCCGACTAAAGGAAGAATACCTGTGAACCTAGCACAGTGAGCGGACTCTAACCTGACTGAAGTTAACCATTAACAACCAACCCTCGCCCACAACACCCATAATGTCATTGACTTATTATGCAATGCAGTGTTTTCAGGGGGTAATACATCATGGGAATGACAGACTATACTTTATGGTTTGTCAAATCACAGTGTGGATCATGTATAATCACCAACTGCACGAGACCTGACTTAAGGCGCAGTTTTATCACAAAAAATAAAGAGAACAAATTGATTTTCAGGAGGAATAAAAACCTGTATAAGTATGATGTTTTTATATTTTTCTTGTCAGTCTGTTTTTTCAAAGGTTAACAGAACTGGGCTCTGTGGATCTGTGCTACTGGGCCTCATCCAGGTCTAACACAGTCAGCTAGTATTCTCTGCCTCTCGCTTGCTGTTTGTCTCACCATTACATTTCCCTCTCTCTCCTTCCCGCTCGCAGACACGCACAAAGCCCCCTTTAGGAAAAGCTCCGTCTCCCACAGAGTTAGAATGAGCGAGTCTCAACAGAGACAGAAGGAGTGTGAGAGTAAAGGAGAAGCAGGGAACCAAAAGCAGGAAACCCTGCTCCGGCACAGGGGGGCAATAAGTGCTGAGCTGCTGCAGGGACCGAGTTACAAATGGGCTCACACACACGCACACACACAAGCTCATACAAGCGTGCACACACACAAACACACACAGGTTACTAATGGACCTTTCGGAACCTCTCAGCTCTTTTCACCTGACTAAACAGCATTATCAAGGATATCTTTATTTCACGTCCCTCTTTTAAATGCTCAGGCCTAAGGTGTTTATAGCATCAAAATGTGTTTTTTTTTAAGTTGCAAAAGGAGGAATCCAAACCAACAGATGCTGAATTAATCTTAAAGCACTAAAAGTTTCTATAGACTAATTCGGTCTAAAAAACCCATGACAACATGTGAGAGGCTAAAATAAAGAGAGTACACAGTAAGTTGAGTTTTTGGTCCACAGTTTAGATACAACAACAAATATACATGCGGTTGACTTATTGGGGGTTTACATTTGTTAATGGTTTACCCACAAAGAGCAAGTGAAAAGCTGCAGATGTTGGTATTTTATTTATATCCTCTTACCCTGCAAAGAGTTTATTGAAAGGATGCTTCAACAAAGATAATTAAGTTATGGTAAGTTCCATAAAAACGCATACCGAAGCAGATATATTAAGGTTTTGACTAAATAAAACAGTAATTGGTTGGACACGGAAATATTTTAACTAACACTTAGTTATCAACAAAATTATAGTCTGACAAAGCATTTGGTGAATGTTTGGTTGTTCTCAAATATATGTATGCTATTATTAGCTAGTGAATTAATAGAGTTGTGGCGATCTGTCTGTGCTGTGTTTTGTCATGTCTCGATCTGTCTTTGGTTTCCTGTTTTATTTAGAAAAGTGTTCACCCCCGTCTTGCCTGTTGCTTCTATATCGTATAAGGCTTCGCCCTCTAAGGCTATCGCTATTGGGTAATCCCTCCTGCACGTGTGCAGCACTGACAGATTTAATCCACGCCCACCTATGACGTGGGCCCCACCTCCGGGCTCACTTCCGTATAAATAGGAAGTAGGCCCTACTATCTACTCCCACTTTTCTTCAGCACTCCGTTGCAGAAGCATTGTCAGGCAAAAACAGTTCTGTTAAGAGCTACTTACCGTAACACAAGCATTCCTCCTAAAAAGCTTCTGTTTTCCGGTAAAATGGAGACTGGACAGGAAAGTCAAGGCTGTGTCAGGGATTGCCTCGTATGCGGAACGGGCTACATTATGAGTTTTGACAGGCACTCACAGTGTGAGTCCTGCCTGGGATTAGAGCATGCGAACGCTGCTCTCAATCCCGGGGTGTCTTGCTCGCATTGTGCCCGTCTCCCGCTGGCCCTCAGACAGCAGAGAGCGGACGCTCTCGCTGCTGCGGCCGCCGAGGACGATTGGCCCATCCAGGAGGAGTACTCCGGGGACAAAGTCCTTGATTTCCTGGATCCGAGTGGAGGGCACGAGTCGGACGACTACGTCCCCTCCATTCA